ATGGTCCTCTTTGGAAAGCTCCCTAGACTGGCTTTTTTTCCTCCTTTGGGTTTGTTTTTTTGTTGGGGGGGGGGGGTTGTACCAGGGATCGAACTCAGGACCTTGAGTTTGCCGGGCAGGTGCAGCACCACTAAGTTACATCCCCAGCCCCTTGGGTCTGTTTTTGGTACTGGGGATCGAACTCGGGTCCTTGCGCTTGCACAGCAGGCAGCAAAACTACCAAGCTAAATCCCCAGCCCCTTCTTTGGTTTTTTAAGACAGGGTCTCACTATGTAGTTCAGACTGGCCTTGAACTATGTAGTCCAGGCTGGCCTCAAACTCACAGCGATCTTCTTGACTCAGCCCAATGTGAAAATGTCTTCTCTAAATGATAATACAAGTTCAATGTCCCATATCTGAACATCTGAAAACCAAAATGCTTCAAAACTCGAAACTTTTTGTGTTCCAAGCTACTTCTTCCAAGTCTATCAGGCAAGAGCAAATCACTCTCATTATTCCAACCAGTACTGCTTTGCTTTACTCACAGGTTAAATAGCATTTGCTCCTTGATACTAATAATTACAGATTATTGGTTCGTGTGAGCTATAGAGACCTCTCAAATACTAATTATACTGTTAAATAAGAACACCAGGTCAGAAGCCCTTAGTGGTAAGAACTGACACCAGGATAAGCAAAATGAATAAAGTACAGTGGGGGGGGGGGTAGAAAATCCTATACCTACTTGGAGGTAAAATCTCCTCCAGGTGGGAATCATGGTTCATCTCAATCTTGTTGCTCAGCTTGGAAATTTCATTAATGGTCTCTGTCAGAACTGTAACCAAAGAAATGAGTGGTGGACAAAGTGAACTCACACAAGTGTGGACTTCTATTTTTCTTTTTTCTTTTTTTTGGTACTGGGGATTGAACTCAGGACCTTGCACTTGTGAGGCAGGCGCCAGAACCACTGAGCTAAATCCCCGGCCCTTGGACTCCTATTTTATCAGGAGATTCACTCAACCTAGTAGGCCCCAAATACGTTATCAGGTTCACTCAACTACAGGAGTCATCGAGGTTTTTCTGAACTCTATGCCCCACAACAGTGCTGAAAACTCAAAGAGCACAAGGGAGAGGCAAGACAAAGCTAATTTATAAAAATTTAAAAAAAAAATTAAGTGAAACCAATTAAAAACTTTTAAAAAGTAGTCACAAAGCTGCAAAGAAACAACTTTATATTTTGCCAAAAGGAAGCATTTATCTACAGTACCAAGTCTATTTTCCTCTTCCTGCCTCTGGAGCTACCCACAATGAAAACTAAATTTCCCCTATAGATAATACATATGCGTCACTGAGCAGTGCTAAAGCCTTCTATAGCAGTAGTTCCCAGATTTTAGGATTTCACAAATAAACCTCCAAAAAGATTTTAAGCAAATGATCACAACATGACAACTTATTTTGCCAAGTACAGAAAAGCAAATCAAAATTATACTCTACCACTAAAAATCATAATTTCATAAGAGAGCAGAAAGGAAAAGTGTCAAAATAAAGAGCAGCCTTTTAAACTGAATTGATTTAGCTTTGAGACTATTATAGGCAGCTAAGTTAAAAATTAATGTGTACAGTCAGAGAGGGATTGGCCCCTCAAGGATGTCAGCACAAAAAAGACATCAGAATTGTGGCTTGAGGAAACTCTGGAAAGCCAAGCCTAGGGATGGAGAAGCACTAGTCAAGCTTTCAAGATAAACAGCAACTTGCGATCACACTGTAATTAGCACCATCTGGTCCACAGCCCCATAGGTGGGTGACCAGAATATCCTGACCCATACTAGCTTCCCTTCCCAAAAATGCCTTTGTTTATCCATGCGCCCTTGCTAGTGACTCATTTCCCTACTGCATCAATATTAAATAACTATACTTGTAATCCTATAGGTTGATGGCAGTTTGACCCACACTGTGACTTTGCTGTGTAAGTTACCTCTGATGAAGAGCCTTGGTAGCCACTCATTCAGGACCCTCCTCTTTCTCAGGAGCTTTCTCTTAGCAAACCTTTCCTACTCTTAATCTCCTTTATCCCATAGAATTCATTCTCTGATATTTGGGGGGTGGGAGGGACATGAATTCCACACACTGACATCTAGTAGGTCCCAAATTATATGTTTCCTTTATTGAGACTAGTATCTTCATAATTTTGAGACAGAGTCTCACTATGTAGCCCAGGGTCGCTTTAAACTCCTGGTGATCCTCCTGCCTCAGCCTCTTGAGTGCTGGGATTACAGGCCTCTGCCACCACATATGACTTCTTCATAATTTCATTTCACTAAATATCACTAAAAATTTTGTCACAAATCAGCACCAGCATTTGGTAACCATTTTTCCAGTTTCTTAGAACACACCTCTGGCATGGCTAATAGCACTCTCACATACTAGGTAACTACAATAAATTATTACTTGGCATAGAAAATGAAGTCCTACACAATAAATTACATTTCTTACTCTGTATGAAGTTTTATATTTTGTTCACTATTATTTGGCTTCAAGATCTGAAGGGGAAATAGAACTTAGATTGGTCATGAATTGACTGAGGCTGGGCTGGGGATTTAGTTCAGTGGTTCTGCTGCCTGCCTCGCAAGCACAAGGTCCCAAGTTCAATTCCCAGTACCAAAAAAAAAAGAAGAGGTTTTTTTTTTTATATTAGTTGCTTTACTGTTATAAATGCTTAAGGTTTCTGCAGCAAGATTTAAAATGTAAAAAGAAAAAATAATAATAAAAAAAATGTAAAAAGAAAAACTAAACTTATTGTAGAAAAAGATCACACAGGACAGTTCCCTTTCTCTTAGAAAAGAACACAGTATCAGGAGGATCACTGGGAGTTTGAAGGCAACCTAAGCCACATAGCAAGTTCAAGGCCAGCCTGAGCTACACAGCGAGACCCTGTCCCCTCTCCCAAAAAAGAACACAATACAGGTAAACCCATTGCTGTAACTTTCAAATAGCAAGGGGAGAAACAATACATATGTAGAAAAGGTAAAATGGCAAAACACTAACAATGTGAACGTTCACTGTATTAACTTTTCAATAAATTTGAAATGTTTGAAATAAAAAGGGGAAAAGATAATTGTAGGCCTTGATAAAGAATCCACTATGTCCTTGCTAACATTAAGGTGAAATGAACCTTAAATGTAGGATGTTCCCAAATGGCGTAACACAAACATGTAAATCGTCAAACTGCTAATTCATAACGATAAATGAAAATTAAAAGAAAATCTTCAAAGAGAGACTGAGCTACAGCAGCTCACTGAAGGCAAATTCAAAACACTTCTCAACTACAACAAAGTGCACAGCATGTCCTAAAAGACTATTCCATTACTCACAGGTAACCCAGCATTAAGCCACACCAGGAGAGCTCTAAAATTCAGGAAAAAGGAGGGCTCAAACAATAATCAGATAAAATGCAACAAGAATAGATTTTTAAAATCTAGATTCCAAGAACAAAGAAATTTTCAAGCTAATACAGTAAACCAAGTCAACCTACCCACAAAATTTCAACTTTTTTTTTTTAAAGGAATTTGGTAATTCACTTTACTGGAAGTTATTTTTTACCTATGGCTTCACTTAAATAGCCACTGTAAGAACAAACTACAAAAAATATATATATTTTTTGCTGGCTTTCACAGCTCATCAGGTTCCTGCCTGTTCAAATGTCTTTTAGGTGCCATTTTGTTAGCCAGCAGCGACCCCATGTGGTCACAAGAGAAACGAGGTTTAATTTAACTTCGCGCCTCAGACTAAATTTTCCACAAATCAATCTTCCAAACTTTTAAAACTTGAGTTGTCACACGTCGACAGCCCTTCAGATCGATGACTGGGTGGGTTCCCTGGAGATTATTATAAAAGAGAAGCGCCCTGAGTCCCAGTGAGGCTGGACCTACCACGAAGTGTGGCTCTAAGGGACCTCGCGCCAAAGCAAATGCCAAAGAACATCTACCATGCCACAAACCAGACCAAGAGCTCAACCGTCGAGTCCACAGCACCGAGGAGACACAATTTCTGGTTGGGGTCACTTGGGTTCTTTAGAGATAACTCCAGGTATCTGCCATTTTCCACTCTCAAATTAAAAATACTATTCAAATACGGCTTAAAAGTGACAGCCTCAAATCTTGTCAAGATTCAAGTGATACCATGTGCAGCGGTTTTGCGAAGGATTCGCAGCCCTTAAGGTCTAAATTGCTCAGGCTGGGCTGAAACTTGGCGATCTTCCTGCCTCAGCCTCCCAGAGTGCTGGGATTTACAGGAATGTTCCCCCATGCGAGTAGTATTATAGACAGCTACGCTAGGTAAAAATATTATAGGCAGTCAGACAGGGCTAGGCCCTCCCTCGAGAGACAGGCTTCACATAAAGATGAAATGACCAGACCTACATACATCCCCAAAGGACAAGACAAGTGGTAACAGCCTGATAGTCTAGCTAGACATGAGTAACCCTAGTGGGTGACCAAGACCCATCATTTCCTTACAAAAGCCTTTGTTCTTTCCATGCACCCTTGTTAAAGGACTTGTTTTCCCACTGGATATTACCTAAGCGACTATACTTGTAACCTTATTGGTTGATCGTAGCTTTAACTCACTTTGTATCCGCATGGTTTTGCTCTGTAAAAGCTCCCCTGTAAAGTGGGGTCCTCAGCTACCCACTCTGGACCCCTCCTGCCTCTCAGGAGCTATCCTCTCAATAAGTATTTCCTACTCCTAACCTCTGTTCCTAGAATTCATTGATTTTAGAGACACGCACCTGGCGTATCAGACATCTAACAGGGTGGGAATTGTAACATTTCCCTCATATCATTTACACGTCCTATTTCATCTCCAATATCCCATCTGTAGGCTACATGAAGGCCTCTGGCGGACTAGGACCTGTTAAGTGAAGAATGGGCTGGGGGACACAGATCAGGACAGAGCAGAGGAAAGGCAGAACACTTCCGGCTGCAGCACGAGGCACCCAAGGGATCCCGGGCACCCGCTGGACCTACACAGAGGTTGGTCCCGGGAGCTGCTCTCGTCTTCCCCCGAACAGCCCTGCCACTTCAGGGTCGCAGGAGCCGCTCTCTTCCACGCCAGGGTCCTGAGGGGCCACACCGTCTTCAACTTCCTGTATTTTGCTGGGGGTATCCGGGCTGGGGAGAAACAGGGGCGCTGTTGGCCTCAGGGATAGGGCGGTGAGGCCGGGGCAGCCTGCCCCGGTGTGAGCTGGTGCGGGCCTCAGCTTCTTCGGGTAAAAAGCCCAGTGAGGAATTCGAGGTAGCAGCCGCCCAACCACCTCCTCCTGGCATCCCCAGCGGCCCACTCTGGCTTCGCCCTCAGCCGCCTTGTGGCCTCTAGGCCCGCCTAGACTGTACCACCGTGGCGGGGGTGGCCGGGCGATGTAGGCTGGGGGGCAGCGCCGATGCGATGTGGGCGACCCGGCACGCACCCCCGTAGCTACTCAGAATGGGAGAGTCCAATTTGCCCACAAACCTCCGCGGTCTCCCGGGACAACGGCGCAGGCGTTGGGGGCAGGAGTAGGGGCAGCTGCAGCCTAATGCTGCCCTCGTGGGCACGAAGGCCGAGGGGGCCGCCTGCTAAGGGCCTGCCCCACCCCACCCCCCAGAGATCACCTGGAACTATTTAGTGCAGGAAAAGGGTCCAGAGACAGAGCCACACCCAGAAAGGCCTTTCTCCGGATCCGCAGTTCCTGCTGGGGGCTGATCTGGGCTTCCCTGTGACCCTGAGGCCTGGCCCTCCTGATCTTTCGCCCCAGGTCTCTGGCCTTTCTTGATTCTGAGTCTGTTCTTGACCTGAATATCTCTGCAGTGTCCCCCACTCGATCCCTGCCCTCGAGGGGAGAAAATAAAGTTGCTGCTCCACATTCTCCTACCCTTACTCATTACTGACTTGATTTCTTACTGCAAAAATTTACTTTAAAAAATAAAAAATAGGGCCGGGGATTTAGCTCAGTGGTTTCGCTGCCTGCTGCGAAAGCACAAGGACCTGAGTTCGATCCCTGGTACCAAAAGTAAATAAAGATAACCCATGCATGGTGGGGCAGGCCAGTACTCCCAGCACTCTGGAGGCTGAGGCAGGAGGGCGGGTAGTTCAAGACCAGCTTGAACGATGCAGTGAGAGCTTGTCTCTAAGTAAAAATAAAAGTATTACCTGTAATACTTTTAAGAATGTAAGAAACTGTTTTGACCAAGTTCTCATCTAACTTTTGCCTTGTTGGTGTGGAGTGTGGGTGTTCCTTGCACAATTCAAAGCTTTGAAGGGAAAAATTATGAAAAGCCCCAGTTAGTTCCTGCCTTCAAAAGTCCATTCAACCCTGAGGCCCAGGAAGATGTGAGGGAATGGCCTAGTAAAGTTACTGTTTACATGGAGGGTATCTGAAAGGAATACACACTAAACCTGCTACTTCCTCCTTTTCCACCTCTACTGAAATTTCCTCAGGGCTGTCAGCCACCCCAGTCCCACCAGAAGTAGGAGGAAGTTGCAAGGTGACTTCAGTAAAGAGTTTGATGAAATGCTTCATTATTACATAGGGAAGTATTTAGACTGGGCCCTTAATTTCCCTTTTAAAGAAAAAAAAATTCTGAGATTGGGCATTTTCATGTCATGTCGAGAAGAAAGCTTCTAGGATAACATCAGTTTATTTCTCACACAAAAATGGTCTTGCTGTGAAACTCTCCTGACCACTGCCTGAAATTCCCCTAGAAGTTCATTAGCATCCGTGAAATAATCTCTTTAAGTGTCTTTTTAGGGTCCAGATTTTTCTGGGAGGGTCAGTCAGAGGAAAGAAGAGAAAGAGTCCAGAGTAGCAGACAAAAACAAAATTAGTTTTCCCAGGGTCATACTAGGTACAGTGGTTCATGATCTTTATCATTAATTGTTATCAGAACCAACCAGGCAAAAGTTAGAGGCTGAGGGAACAAAAAGATGATGTGAGAGATAAGCCCTCCTTCCCCTTAGGGTCTTAGTTAATAACTGATTTCTGTGTAATGATTTACACAATGCTTCTATATGGCAAATCCATGTGCTCTGAACACAATCCTGCCTATTCAGTAGGCAAGGCAGGTGTTATATTGGGTCATTTAAAAGGTGAGAAGAGGATCAGAGAGCTCAAGGGAGGTAGGCAAAGTCTTGGCTCTTGCTCATATGCTTTTTCTTTCTTTCTTTTTTTTTTTTTTGGTACCGGGGATCGAACTCAGGTCCTTGGGCAGCAGGCGGCGAAACCACTGAGCTAAATCCCCAGCCCTGTATGCTTTTTCTTAATTCACACCTGCCTGACTGGCTGAGAAGCGGTCCACGTGCACAAGGAAAAATACAACTAACATTATAATGGCGTGGTAAGCACCAGGGTTGGTGTTACAAACAAGAAGTGTTGCTGGAGGTCAGAGAAACACTAACAGATCTACCAGGTGTTTGGGTCAATTCCAGCCCCGCCTTCAGCCAGGGTCTTCAGAGAGAGTCTGTACCTCACCGGGTCTTTGGAGCCGGGTCTCTGGTTCAGCCTGCCTCTCAACCTCAGAACCCCTTTAAACTCTCTTCATGGGTGAAATTGGATTTTTTACTTATGTCTATTATTTAGCAGGAATGTCCCTCCATGGTAACCTAATACCTTTACTCTATTAAAGTGCACATACCTCAGAAGCCCCATAAGGCAAGTATTTCTCAAGCAACTCCGGTGCAGAAGCAAAAGTTTTTATCTCCTATTTACAATAGGCACATTCTGGTTTTAATACTAAAGTCTAATTTCCCACTCAAAAATTTTTTTTATCTATCTTTTTGAAACAGGGTCTTGCTACGTAGTCCAGGCTGGCCTCAAATTCAGGGTGGTCCTCCTGCCTCAGCCTGGTGAGATCACAGGCATGCGCCACCACACCCAGGGTCCCATTCTCAAATCTGTGAGCAGAATTATGGTTCTAGAAAGAAGAGCATCCTGAATTAGTTGCCACACCTCTGTAAACCCCTATGGGTACTTACACCCAGTTTGAGAAACAATCGATGGGAATTTCAGGCTTGCAACTAGAATCTTCCTACTCCTCACCCATTCCTGCACATAAATGAATTTGAACCCAATCCCAGTAGTATGATCTAGTCTCATTAAGTACTATTCTGTGTACACTGTGGCCTCAAAATAAAATTTATGAAAAGTTGGTCTTATCCACAAGGACATTCTGAAAGGAAGGGCAATAAAAACAAAGATATAAGAGGAATATTTATAGGTAGCTGTAAAAGGTACAGAGATTTTAAGAAAAATCCTGGATACATCTGGTAACTACAACAAAGCAAAAATGAAAACATATCATTTTATAAAGCAACATCTTAGGCTCAGTGAGGTTAAATGACTTGGCTAAGGTCACCGCCAGTTTATGGAAAATTCAGGAGAAAAATCCATATCCCAGCCTGTTTAGCCCATAATGTATAGATGATACAGGGGTAAAAGCTAATACTGTAAATAAATACTTACATTTCCTAAAGAAAAATGTAAATGACAGGCCGTGGAATGGAAAAAGTAAGGGATGAAGTTAAATAGAGGCCAAGACTGCAAGTACAGTCACATCTACTGGAAGATAAACAGTCAACTAAAGTGGTAGGGTCGCATAAATACAGGGTGGGGCCTCTAAATGGAACCATTTGGAGCCGCGTAAACCGGGACTGACTTCATTATGGCCTGCTTTACAGGACAGAACCGCATGTCAAAACTATTTGCTTTAGTCTCTTGATGGATGTGTTTTCTTCACTCGACTCCAAGCAGAGTAGGAGAAAGGTTAAGGTAATCTGGGGGCCAGCAGGCAGTGGCCCTTTGAAGCTCAGAGTGAAGTCTGATGGATGGGGAAACCGTTCAAATCTTTAGGGACAGGAGGCTCAACGCAGAGGACAAAGAAGATTCTGGGAACTGTGTTCACTCCCTGCTTCTCAGACTCATTCAGTCCACCAGCAACACTGACCACACTCCTGCTCCTTCCTACCCCAGGGTCTTTGCACATCCTGTTCTTGCCATCTACCAGGCTTCTCCCTGTTCTTATACCCCTCCCATCTCCTCTACTCCCTCTCATCCTCTGGATCTCACTTCCTCAGAGAAACTTCCGTGGTCCTCTATTAGCTTTTCCAACACTCTGTACATTATCTTCAGAGTACTCATTACACTCTGCAATCACATGTTTCTTTGCATAATTTTTTGGGGGGCAGTACAGGGGATCGAACTTGGGTCCTTGCACTTGCTCGGCAGGCGGAGAAACCACTGAGCTAAATCCCTGGCCCTACATAATTTTTTTTTTTTTTGAGACAGGGTCTCACTATGTACCCCTGGCTGGCCTTGAACTTACGGCAATCCTCCTGCCTCAGCCTCCCAAGTACTGGGAGTACAGGTGTGCACCAGCATTTCTTTGCATAATGAACCCTTATGGAAATATCTGTCTCTCCCAGGAGAAAAAGAAGGACATCCAGGGCCCTGAGACACTGAGGTCCCCCCTGAACTGGAAGGTGGCAGTAGGGGGCAGTGGCGCCACTGGAGAAATCCCCGCTGAAGGAGTTTTTCTCTCTGCAGAGCAACCCAAGGTCAGCAGCAGCCTAAAGCCACAAAAACTGACTTTCAAAGTCCTCCAAAAGAGCTGCATCTTTCCAGTTCCCAAAACAATCAAGCCTTGTGCCCCAGGACACGCCGTGTGTTACACACTTAGAGCAGTTTTCACAGAACCGCATTCAGTTGGGTTTAAGCTCTGGGGAAAGCTGGCAGCCACTTTGTGAGTTTTTGAAAAAACTAGTTAGAAGGACAATTAAACCTTTATGGGCCCCAGAATGTACCTATGCAGACATAAATAAGGATCAGTCTTCATCACGGGAGAATCCGCTTTCGGGCAACAGACACATTTTTCTGCCATTGGAGCACAGAGTTGAGCTCATGTCCGAGAACCGTTCTGATTAGGGCAGGTGACAGGGTCAGGCTGTGGAGTAGAAACTTTGACCCTCAGTTAGGCACAGGCTTTTTCTCAAAACGGACACATCGCAGGCCTTGGGCTTAGCTGGTCTTAAATAAATCACACAAACTCCCAGAGCCTTTCCAGAAAGTTGCCAGGATTTTAGGCCAAGAAAACTCATCTTGCTCTTTCCTTGTGTTACTTTGAGCCAAAATGGTCCATTTGTCAGAGTCCTGACTCCTCTTACAACACAATACAATGCATTCACATATTTACAGCGGGCGCAGTGTCCTTGAATGGTCCGCCTGATTTTTTTTAATCCAATAATATCATTAAATGCACCAGGGGGCTCTCTTCTTAAAGAAACTTTTGAGTGAACTCTTTTGTTAAGTGAAGCTGTCTTTTGCAAGACAAATAATCGGCAACCAATTTGTTTT